AGGAAACTTCACGTAATCAATCAGATCGCGGACTTGCTCTACGGTCTCCGTGTGGGGCATAATGATACCGCAAGCACCGGCGTCAAGTGCCCAGGCAGCCCAATCATGGGTGTGAGCAGGAAGGCGAACGAGGGGAAGAATTTGATTCCCACTGTGTGCACGTAGGGTCTGAATCTATGCAGGAAGTCAGTGATTCGGTTGTGAATTTGAGGTTACGCTGGGGCATACGGTGTCGCTGATGAGAGTTGCACTGTTCGGAGTGTGCTCGCCATCGACAACAACAAAGTCTGTGGCTGTCGATGCAACAATCCCAGCTACGTGCTGGCTGGGGATTCCGAGCCACGTTCCGAGGAGGGCGGTACGAGACTCGTATGCGTCGCGCAATGCCAGACGAAGGTTTGGAGGCTGCCTAGGGTGACCGGCGTTGTACTTCGTGAGATCAGTGGCACGGATAGAGGCCATTTTGAGGAAGCTGATGGGTTGATAATGAAGTAGATGGAATGGTAAGCAAAGGAATGGAGGATATTTTCGATACTGCTCTAGGTTTTATAGCCCCAGGCTCGGTAGTCGCTCTTCTCCGGCCCGAGTACCAAAGTATTGAGCACACGGACACGGTGACCTTGGGAATAACACTGACAGGAAAAGGAAGAACAAGTTCGTCATGTCCATTCAGTTCTAGCTTGGTCAGCATGACACACCCTCTTTCTTTGACCGCCTGAGCCCGGCTGGCGCATTAGCCGCTCATAATTTTGGAAGTATCGAGTCAATCATCGTGCCCAAATCTCAAGCGGAAGCTCAAGCACTCAAGAGCCGTAGATCTTCGACAGTTTCAAGAGGATGTAGCTTATCAAAGTTACTATGCTCCCACGGGGTATCCTCGAATCGAATCTTGTCGAGCAATTCGAAACCTGAAACTGTCAACGTATCTCAACCAATATCCCATATAGTAGCAAAAAACGTAGAGCCAATTAAGCGGTCAAAGAAAAGACCACCATTGCGATTATACCCAAGGACAGACTTGACAACGTCAGTCCACTCGCACCGTCTCCTCCCTGAGTCGCAGTCGAAGATGCATCCTCAGCACTCGAACTCGCCGACGCTTTCGAGTCAGCAGGTGTATACCTTCAAACACATTAGTTTTGCGTCTCGAAGACATCACAATCAGTGGCCAACGTACACGAAACTTATGAGAGACCATATCCCGACACCATCATCCGTATCATCCGTGCGTTGCGGCGAGCGGCCTTTAACCGTCAAGCTAATGGTGTGCTCGGTATTCGCATCAAGTCCCGTCTTGCTGAAGAGCGGCTCGCTGCACTGGAAATAGGTGTTGTTCACGTATCCATCGACGTCGGTGTCTTCGCCATCCAGGGAAATGGTGTACAGTGGAGAGTACGCGTACTGGATACTGTTGATGTAGATTGCGGTACCTAGTACGAGTTCGTCAGTTGTCAAAGGACGGGCGTGTGAGGGAGGGGGCGGGGTTCGAAGAATCGAGTGGTACATGTGCAGTGCGTGAGAAACGCACCATTGAATTTGAAGCTCGCACCGGCGTCTTCAGCGTTCTGCGCCATTGCTACGGTCTCTGAGCACCCGGAGGGAATGAGGTTGTAACAGCCAGCCTGTCCGCCGATGTAGCTTCCATTAGAGTCCAATTTGCAGACGGATGCATCTCCCGCTCTGCCCGAGAACTAGTGAAACGTCAGTACAGTGAGAGCGGGAGTGGCATGGACAAGCTGGAGTCTGGGTTAGGTGCATAGTTGGAATGTCAAGCTGATACCTCCGATGAGGATTGTTGTAGGATGCGGCTCGGATGCGCCATTCACAGTGACCAGAGAACTAGCCCATGAAGGGAAAGAAAAGAATGAGGAACACGTACTGAGATTTGAGTTGTGTCCGTCTCGTTCACAGTGATATTTTTCTGAGAAACAACAAAGGCGGGTACTGCAAAAATGACGAGAGCAGAAAGTAGCATGCCAGTCATGATAGCGAACTTTGCGGGTCGGAGAAGAACTAGAAGAGAACTTGAAGCGACAGACGAAGATGAAAGACGGTGGGAGAAAGCCCTAGGAGCTCACTAGGAACTGCTGGATTTATCTGCCAGGGCCTTTCCCACGCCCTGGGCGCCAGACATGTTTCGACAATGATTGCTATCACTTTCAGGTTCATCTATCTCCATCTCAACGGCAACTCGAGAAGTAGTTGGAAACTGGAGGCGAGTTTCCGAGCTCAACGCGTCGAACAAAGATACCAAAAATACAGGGTATGCAGGTATACTCCAATGTAGGTAGCCCGTGATGATTTATCTATGTATGCTTGTATTCCACAACCAACGCTGCACTGTTAATTTGCTACCAATCAAGCGCACGGTGCCACTCACCTTGTGCAATGTGCAGCAAGGAGCACCGGCCTAAAAAAGATCGCGGTCGTTGTCTTTCAGTGGGGACACCCAGGATTGAACTGGGGACCTTCAGAACTTCAGTCTGCTGCTCTCCCAACTGAGCTATGTCCCCGTCTGACAAATTTTAAGGTGAGCTGCTGTAAAAATCACATAAGTAGAACGAATGCACTCTTCTTGCAGTGCACTGATACTACGCCGCCTTTAGTACCACTTGCGAAGGAGCTAGCAGTGGGAAATGGTGTCATCATGGCTCAGAAATCACCGCTCCAGACATTAGCAAGAGAAAAGAAAGAAGAAAAATCGCATTTCACAAAGCATAATAGCGTAAGTATACACACAGCATGCAAACGGAGGTGCTCTAAGGCGTAGATAGTATCGCTTTGCGGTCTGCACACTTCGGTACTCAACTCGTATCTCTTTTCCCTATTCACCTCCCAGAGTTCTTTCAACAAACGCCCCTCCGACGGTCTCTGATGACTTTCTCTGCAATGCTCCACGGATGCTCGTACCGGCCCTTCAGATACTGCCAGCCCTCCTCACTGACCGGAAGCCCACGCACACAAAGCAGTCCTCGACCTTTCCCATCCCCGGGAACCAGCGCCGTGCCCCCGTCCAACTGTGGCTTATTCGATTCACTCATGCTCGACCCTCTCGCTCTCACCAGCGCCGCCGACTCGCTCCCCATGCCGCCCATATACGCCGGAAACCTTGGATGCAGACTCATACACACAAACCGCTCCTCGCTAATCGGATGGATCGCACTCTCCAACGCCTCCGCGTACGACTCCACAAACGTATGTGGGATATGTAATATCAGCACCTCGACCGTAGGCGGCGTGGCCTCCACGAAATCAAGCAGAGACCGCACGAGGCGCACATTCGACACCATGCGGTCGAAATGCGTAAGGTTGATCAAGACGTGCGTCAGGCTGGGCAGTAGTGGAAACAGAGGGCTGTAGTATGCCCTCTCGAGCACGTTCATGTCCAGCATGAGGCCCGACAGCCCGTCGTTGAGCGCACGCGGCTCGGGATACGTCCGGTACGACATCAAAATGCTGGAGAAGTTTCGTAGCTTGGGGAGAGATGCGACGAGACGGCGAATGTCGCTGCGATCCCAGTTAGGGTCGTCCAGATAATATGCAAGCGTCGTTATGCCACGACACTGCTTGAGAATTTGGGTAATGCTTTGCGAGGAGGGCAGCGCATAGTGCACACACGCGAACACCTTGACAGAGCGGGAGAAGAATCCGGGGTCTGCACGGGATACTAGCGCATAGACGAAACTCTGCGAGTATTCGACCTTGCTGAGAATGACGGTATGGTACAGGATGGGGTCTAGCCTAGAACAGCACGAGATCAGCGACGTACGTGGGGATGCAAGAGGAGTGGCACGGCCAACGAGATTCGACACGGGCTGGAAAGGGGAGGACAGTACAAGCATACGCACCAATTCTTCACGGCCTTGGATATCAAAACCCATGACACCAGCGCCTCTCTGTCCATGAAAGCCGCATGCTCCAAGATCAAGCGCACCACTGTTGCAGGCAGGCTCGCTAGTTGCGCTGCACTTTGTGTCGTCCACACGACCTCTGGCTCTACCTCCTCCTTCGGCGTGCCCCTCGATTCAGGTTTCATGTACGAATCGCGCGGAATCCAGCTGTCCAGGTCGAGGAACACCATAATGGGAATGTCGTATGAGCCTGTGGGGACGGTCGTGCTGTTTGTGTTGAGTCGTCAAGCGGCGTCCGTCGAAGCAAACACAGCTGTGTGTATACGTGCGCCGCGAGAGGAATTTGGTTGCCTCTCAAGGCCGCACCCGCGCTGATGATGGCAAGAGCGCAGGGTTTGAAGGACGCCGTCCCAATGCGTCGCGCCCGATGATCTTCTTCGGCAATCGCCGCCCATCACTGGTAGTCTGGTACTTACAGGATGCGTGACTCTCTTGCCACTGCAAACGCTCAGCGTCTCCCATTTTTAGCGGCGCGGTGATTGTAGGCAGGAAAAATGTATGTGAGGGTGAGCTTGTGGGAGTAGCGGTGAGAGTGTGGAAGGATACCGCGATCACCTACGCCGCACACAGCTCTTTCTAGACTATGTACATAGCATTTCAACTTTTCGGGATGTGCTTCCCGCAAGGTCCCATCCAATCCATCGTGCTTTCCCGAGGTGCGTGTATGAAATTCTGCTTCATTACAGCGACCGAGGTTATTCAATTCGACAGAATAGGACTAAATGCTCGACGAGGCGTTCAGCGAGCTCGCGGCGTGCGTACGTATTTTCTAAAAGTACCGTCGGTTCATGTGCATCTTTCCTGTAAGAGGAATTTGCTATCAAGAATCTGAGTATTTCATGCTCTACACCCAACTGAAAAGTAACCTTTACACACATCTTGCGCTCACGAGTGGGCCGTAGGATAGCTTCAGACCAATGCCTCGAATACGGAGAACCATATGGCAGAGTCTGAATATCGCTGAAAGTCTGACTGGAACTCACTTGAACGTCAGAGTGAAGCATGCGAGCCTCTTGAGATGCCGTTGTTAGGTGCGCTGGCAACTGCTAAGACAAATATCGAGCAAACAAGCGCCAGTGATCGGGAGCAGGGGACATAGCTCAGTTGGGAGAGCAGCAGACTGAAGTTCTGAAGGTCCCCAGTTCAATCCTGGGTGTCCCCAATAAGCGATGAAAGCGAAGATTTTTGGATGCAAATAACACGGACTCGTGCGTTTGTCACTCCGCCAGGTAACGATAAACCTTCAGAAAGATATTGACTCACTGACTCACTGACTCGCATTACATATATTTCAGGAGTACTCAACATATATACTCCCCTGCTTGAAAAGTACATTGTGGCCATTGGCCATTTTGGTCATGCAAATGATGCTTAAGTTTCAACGATATCTGACCCTCAATAGTAGTATAGCCAATACTTGCAACGTGCCGCGCGTCCGCTGCTTTTTTTTTTTTCATCCACCGCGCTCAAATTGGATAGGTATCACTCACTTCATGTTCGTAGGCTACTCGAGGTTCAGATTCGAATGTTCAGGATATCCTTTGCTCTATCCTAATTGATCCATACTTCTTAATAACACGTAGGGCCTCTGGGGTATACTTGAGCAGTGGGCGAATACTAAATTACTCTAGTAGACCTGAGCGAACCACTAGAAACCGCTCATCCCGGTGGGCCGTGCCAGCGGATGGTCTTCACAAGTATCTCGCGCGTTCTGAATCCTTGCGCCAGACGCCTGTAGTATACCCTACCACAAAATCAGTTTTCAAAGCAGACGCGCGGTAGCGAAGGTTCAAGCTCAAGGCCCACTAAGCTGATATGCGTCGGACACATTCGCGCACAGTGATAGACATATTTGTGACTCAAGAACATGTAAAAAAAGTTGTTTGTCCATTTGTTACAACATAGTACTCAAAGAGGGAAAGCAATGATAGAACGATTGTTCCTCTATCCCTGGTAGTAGCACCGGAATCCAGTGTATCGTATCTCTACGCATGTCATGGAGGTCAGTATCCCAGTATCAATCACCAATCAACAAAGAACTCGGACTCACTCATCTCATCCAAAATCGCCCTCATCCTATCCACATTCGGCGTATCCCCCGACACCAAATGGTTCTCGTCCGTGACAAGGTGGTTGTGGATCGGGTTATCGGTCTCGTACTCTCCCGGGAACTCGTTCGCCACAGCAAGGAAATCATAATAGGACACGTCCGGGCGCGTGACATACACGGCCTTGCCGAAGCCGACTTCTTCTCGCAGATGAGTGTCGAGGTAGACACGAAAGGTAGCGTCCTGTCAGCCAACGGGTCAGAGCACGGTAGGTTATGGGGATTGAGCGTACAGTCGTATGGTCATCGTCCAAGTCTATATCAAGCTCAGCCTTGCACCAGCGCTTCGCCTCGTCCGCCTCGATGTGCAACCCGCAGAGCATGTTGGGGTATACGCGCTTGGTCTTGGTGCGTTCAGTACCGCGGTACCAAGGGGGATAATAGTCTGGACCGCGTTCGTGTTCGAGCGGTTGGCCTTTTCCCCAAGGGTTGTGGTGGACGTTCATTTTTTCGTGCGTGGGTGGTGTGGTGGTGGTGAGAAGACAAGTGGCACGCGCTGGTCACATTTCTCGATCGCGGGTACTTTGGCGATCGAATTGAACCTTTACAGATATTCTCTTAGCTTTAGCTTTTCGCCTCAATCTCTCCATACGCTCTGTTCAACCTGTATTATACAGGGAAGGAGCGGCCCAATATTCACCAGAAAAATGCTTGGTGCTGCAGCCAGCTTATGGACAGACTCGAACGCCTTCCTGGGGTTTGTGCTTCCTGACTTGGCTTGAAATTGTAGTTGGTGCATTTGGAATCAAGTTATCCAAGCTCTTGCAGCGTGGAATAATCATCTAGGAGCTGCTACTTAGGTGCGTCAGCGTGAACTTGACTGTGACCGCCATCAGGTTATGCCCTCCTCGAACGCATGTACTCACAACCACCATCCAACGTTTGCTACAATGCTCTTAGGGTATCGACGACCCATTTCTCGGCCACGAGCGCGTGCTGTGGTGGCACATCTGCAGAGAGGAATATGGCTCTGTCCATCTTGCGGGCTGGGTTGAGAGTATGAGCGCGGCGCAAGACTAAAGAGTGTGGATTGATTTCTCGTTGTAGGACGCATAGAATATGGCAGGTAAAGCCTTGACTAAACGAGCACGGAGTTCGAGGAGATATACAGGGATGTTGTAAAGAAAGCGGGCTCACCTATCCGCTGAGCGATACTTGATGCGGCGTCAGATGCGCTCGTGCGGAAGAGTGTCGTGCCGATGGGTTGTTTCTGCAGAGGCGTAAGCAGGCGCACGATGAAGCACGGCACATACATGAGGAGATGGGGTATGACAGGTTGCGAAGCCAGTACGGCAGATTGTCATAAACAGGCGAAAAGAACAGGAAAAAGGGCAGGGATAGAGATGTTTAGGAGAACGCACATTAGGTTGTGGCATAGCGTACGCCCAGTCCCTACATAGCCTCCCATTCTCTTCCGGATTCGAATCCTCTGTGGTGGCATCGGCGGACCCTACCCAGATCATGTACGAGTCGACGAGGGCTGTTATCTGCATAGAAAGACGTGCGCTGTGGTCCGGGATTGTCGTTGTGTGTTGAGATACAGATATCATGGCTGGGGGATTGCTCAGCGTAGAGGAAGAATGAAGCGAAGGATGGAAGTCGGGGAGCAAGACGCGTCGTGATCGCCGCGATCACCCATTAGGCCCAGCGAGAAGTAGAGTCTTCCCTCGTATCCCGCTTGGCAGGAGTCGAGACTGGTGCTCGAAAGGTCGAGGAAGAGCTCCTGGATTTTCGCGTCGCCTCCTCCATGCGCCAAGCGATGTCGGGAAAGAGTGGTCCGCGTAGTGCATTATGTCGTCTGTTGACGCTGACGACGGTGAGCATGTAATAAAGTTCGGCCGCTTTATCAGGAAACACTACAGTCGTAGTTGAGCGTACCTCACGCGTCGACTGCTTGGCGCTTACTATACTGATTTGTATACCGATAGTTAAGAGGACGAGAGGTTGTACTTCTTTTGTTTCTCGCTGTTCCTCACGCCTCAGCCAAGCGCCTCAAAACCATACTGAGGCGAAAATGAAGGTAGTCACACGTATACGACGCGCACCTGTAACGTGGTGTTCTAATTCCACATCGATAGGCTCTGTTCAGAGATAGTGCAGACAACAGAAATGGCTTGGGAAGCCTCAAATTCAGAAAGAAAAGAAAGCCGAGCCGACAAATAGATTTATGAAAGAAAGACGGACGGCGACCATACTACACCACGAGAAAGCTGATAAGTAGACTTCCATGTTTAGCGCGATGTCCTTGAATTCATCAACTCACACACCAGTCACGCACGAAGAACAGACGAATCAAAGCGGTTTTGGTCGTATATGGAGTAAAAATGAGGGTATACAAAACCGGTAAAAAGAGGCATGTAAGGATAGTCCTAACGTGGTATTCCGCGAAGGCGAGGGCAGCTGTTCTGCTCAGGTAAGATGTAGTGATGGTAGCGGGTCAGAGGTATGAACAAACGAGTCTTTTTCCTAGCAATGTGTGTGCGGACGAGAAAGTGGAATGTACACGGGAGAGTTAGTGAGTGCGAAACCATCCGCCCATAAGGACCCGTAAATGTAAACAGCAAAGTGAAGGAAGAGATGTGAGTGGGAAGGGAAGGGAAGACAGGGCGAGGTGCAAGAGAGGGTAAGGCTACTCATGCATAGCGAACTTGCCATAGAGATGCCACCATTCGTCGACGGCATCCTGCGCATCGTAGTTCGCTTGTGAGACCCAATCTGCCCACATCCCGCCCACTTCGTCTTGGTCAAGCACGCCTTCGCCCGGGATCATCGTCAATGACGCCTGCCGTGGCCGTCAGCACCGCAGATAGAAAAGAACAAATGAGAAAGAAATACCTTGAGAATCTTGTTGAAGACATCACGCATGGGCCCCGGAACGAGCGAAGTCAGCCCCAGCGCCTTCATATCAGACTCTGCGAGCTGCAAGCTCCGCGGCGCGCGGATTTCATCATACCCCCTGAACAGCAAAGCAACGTTCGCCCTCCTCACAGCCTCATCCCCTCCTCCCTCTTTTGCTGCAGTAGTTAAAGCCGGGATCTTCTCGAGCAGGCGTCCGAGCGTGAAGCAGTCTTCGAGCGGGAGCGACGCGGTGTGCGTGGCGTGCACGGGCACACAGTGCGCCGACGTCCCAACGAGCACCGCCCGTGCGTTGTAGTCCACGAAAGATGACATCGGCACGATGGGTTGGATAGTAACGTATGCGTCTTCTGTTAGAGCAAGAAGTTTTTGAAGCCTATTCGCAGATCACGAGGTAAGTATCATCGCGATAAACAACCTGGGAGACTTTACGCACACGAGATTGTCTTTGGGAACATACGGCGCAAAGAAGGATTGTGCGGGGACGCTCTGACGCCATGGGACGTCTTTTTCATCTGGTTTAGCGGGGCGCAGAGCAGCCATCTCTATCATGTAGTATGGCCCATGTCGGCCTAGCATGAGTGCGTACCCAGCCCCTGTATATGCATCCAGCTACACAGCTCGTCAGCCTCTTGCTGCAGTCAGCGACGAAGAAAAGCTCACCGACTTGAGGTCCAGTAAATGGCGCAGGTCCGGGTCTGCCGCAAGCTTCTCCACAGGAATCATTGTTACACCCCTGCACAACTTAATCAGTTACCCATCGTATGGTCAGAAGGGAAAGAGCATACCCAACACATTCAGGCGAATACTGTCCCGGTAGATGCGCTGCAGAGTATCCCCCAGTAATACTCCCGTCGTCGTCGCTCTCATCGCTATCCTCATCCTCATCTTTTGGCCGTGGCTCCTCTGCTTGTTTCACCATGAAATCCCGTACCACGCTCGTTGTTCCATCAGCACCGATAATCTTGCACACCACTTCAGAGAGAGACCGAGAGTAAAGTCACAAGACACGCACGACATCGCATTCTATTCTCTCCTCATCAACACCTTCAACAACCGCAGGCCCCTGCTTCGACGTCTCGATCCCTTTGACCGCGAAGTCATACCGAATGGTGCACCCCAGGCGGTGGCATTGTGCACGGAGGTACGCTGTCAAGTCGTGATGCTATTCGACGCCAAAAATTACACATCAGCTCTCG